AAGCCAGCGCTCGACCACTGAGCTGAAGGGCGTTGCCCTTAAGCTTGTCCATTCAAGGACAACAGTTCATGGAACGGCAGAGCTGTGCCCTGGTGGGTTCGAACCAGACTGAGATCAAGTGGTGCGGCAGGATCATAAGTGGTGAAGGCATCAGACATGACCCAAACCGAATTGACTCGCTACGTGCTTTGCCATACCCACGTACTGCCGGAGAGCTTCAGCAATTTGTCTGTGCGGTCAATTGGATGCGTCAAAGCATTATTGATTTTGCAAGGCAGATTGCCCCTTTACAACAAAAACTTGACGCGGCTCTCACGAAAACCAAGAGGACCAAGAGGGCGGCTGCTGGCATTAACATTAAGCTGAGCAGTGATGAACGAGTGGCATTTGACCGGATTAAGGATTCGCTCGCCAAAGCTGCTACTCTCGATTTTCCTGATGACAACGCTACCACATGTCTCTTCACGGATGCCTCGAACGTTGGATACGCCGTTATTGTGACTCAAGTTGTGGACTTCGACCCTCAGAAGCCTGCTACAGAGCAACAACATCGGCTCATTCACTGCACAAGTGGAACGTTTGCCGGTAGCCAGCTAAACTGGACTGTCATCGAGAAAGAGGCATTCCCCATTATCGTTGCCTGTGATAAACTGGATTACTTGCTACTAAGGCCAAAACCCTTTCGGATGTATTGTGATCATCGTAACCTGATTCACATCTTCGCACCGGACGTTTCGATCAAGAAACATATTAAAGGGAAACTTTCAAGATGGTCCATGAAGCTAATGAACTACCAGTATGTAGTGGAGCATGTACCGGGATCTGATAATGTATGGGCCGATATGATTTCCCGCTGGGCTGGTAACCATTCGCCAACTGTGAAACGACTGAAGGTTGCTCGGGCTCGCCCAAACCAAAGGACTGAGACTGTGTATGCTTTGCGCCCTCTGGATGATGATCGTTTTGTGTGGCCTACACTGGTGGAACTCAAGGAAATACAAGCCAAGAACTCGGCTCCTGTTCACGCTAATCGAAATGATGATGGTCTCGTGACCCTAGAGGACAAGCTGTGGATCCCATATGAAGAAAAAGAGTTACTTCAGCGGCTGTGCATCATTGCGCACTGTGGCGCTCAAGGGCACCGCGGCCAACAAGCCATGATTGCACATCTGGGACGGCTTTTCGCTATCGAGCACCTCTCAGATGTGGTCGCAAATTTCGTTAAGAAGTGTCTGCTTTGTCTGCATTCAAGAGGGGGAAAGATTATCCCACGTCCGTGGAGCGAGGTGATTGAGTGTCGTACACGTAATGGTGTTCTTCATTTTGACTTTCTTTACATGGGTGAAAGCTTTGGAGGCAGCAAATTTCTTTTGGTTATGAAGGATCACGCCACACATTACTGCGAATTGGTTGTTGCAGACTCAGCCGAAAGTAGTGTTGTGGTTGAAGCTTTACTGGATTGGCACTCACGATTCGGTGTTCCTCCTGAGTGGGTGTTTGATTGTGGAACCCATTTCAAGAACGAGATTGTCGCCGAGCTGAGTCGCCGTCTCCGGTCGAAGCAGTCATTCACACTTGCGTATAGTCCGTGGGTTAACGGATCAGTTGAACGTGTGAACCGGGATGTACTACAAGTGGTGAGAGCAATGATTTTAACATACAAAATTGGATACAAAGACTGGGTCTACTTGGTTCCGGTGGTGCAAGCCAATTTGAACCATACAGCACTCCCATATCTTGGAAATCGAGCGCCAGTTGAGCTGTTCACTGGACTGCCACGGCCTACACCCCTCTGTGAATTTTATCTACCAGTGAAAAACAAGTTACAGCAGATTCC